CTAATCTGGAGAACTGGGTTTGATTCCCCACTCTTCCACATGCAACCAGCTGGGTGACCTTGGATCAGTTATAGTCCTCTCAGAGTTCTCTCAGCCCCACCTACCTCACAGGGTGTTTGTGGTGGGGAGGGGAAGGGAAAGGAGTTTGTGAGCCCCTCTGAGACTCCAAGTGAAGGGCGGGGTATAAATCCAGTCTTCTCCTCCTCCTCCTGTTCTTCTTCCTGTTCCTCCGCTTCCTCTTCTTCCTCCTCTTCTTCTTCTTCCTCCTCTTCTTCTTCTTGTTCCTCTTCTGCTTCATCCTCTTCTCCCCCCCACACACAGAGTTGTCCTCTGATAGAGGCCACAATCATTATCCATTTCGCACATGAAAATTAGGCCCTGACCAACTGCCCAAAACTGTGGAAGCTCATTGCTTATTAGGGGATTTTTCTTGCTCGTATAGAGGGAAATACCCTTAGAACAACATAGGCCAAAGTCACTTTGCTGCAGGCGTTTTACAGAGGGGTAGCCGTGTTGATCTGTGGTGGAACAGCTGGATCTTCTTCGTGGTCTCTGTGCATCACACCCTTGGGAAGCTTGCCGTAGAGTTAGGGATGCCTGCCTCCAGGTGGGACCTGGAGATCCTCCAGAATTACAGCTCATCTCCAGACTACAGTTCCCCTGGAGAAGATGGATGGTTTAGAGGGTAGACCCTATGGTATTGCATCCCACTGTCCTCTCCAGGCTCCATCCCCAAATCTCCAGGAGTTTCCCAACTTGGATTTGGCTATCCTACCCCCCATCCCCCATCCCCCATCAGTGGACAGGGGTAACCCTGGCAACCCTACGGCAGAGTCCACCTCCAAAGCAGCCATTTCTCCAGGGGAACCAATCTGTTGTGCCTCAGTTGTACTTCCAGGAGATTCCCAGGCCCCGCCCAGAGGCTGGCAACCTTTTATATGCATGGTTGTTTCTTATTAAGAAAAAGCATTATTTTCTGTCCCCAAATAGCTGCAGTAGCTGCAGTAGCTGCAGTTTAAGCATCAGTTTATCATTTCTGAATTTAACGCTAGAGAGAATAAGCACTTTTTGTTCTCATTACAAGAAGGATCACTGTAAAAAACAAAGCTAGGAGAAGCTGAAGGCAGCTTCTTCTTTCCCCCTCAGACATCCAGTAGAACACTGTTGTGGTCTGTGGACTCATAAACATTTTATTCATGATAAGATCCAAAGGTCACATCCTCCCCACCACCACCACCTTCGCAGGGTCCTTTGTAGCATCAAATGTGCCTGTCTCATTTAACCCAAACAGCTAGCCTGGTCTGCTGAGAAGAAGGAAACTCAATACGAACCTCTTGCAGAAGAAAGCATTCCACAGTTGGATATCGGTTTTCAGTTGTGGTCTTTTGTGACCTGTCATGATAGGAAATGTTATTTCTGATGCTTAGACTTGTTTGAATTAGAATCGAAAGCAATAGCATTCTGTTTATAGTAGTATAATACTATAATAGCGCGTTCTGTTTAAAATAAACATGGCCCGTTACAAGAAACACAGCGTTTTCCCCTGGTCAGTTACTGACAAATGGCTTGGATTGTTTTGAGCTGCTTATAACGTTCCTATAGGGGACTTTCCAGAATGGCTGCCTGGCTCACCCAGAGCTTGGGACAAATTGGAAGGGAGCTTATCTTGCACTTAGGCCCCACCTTTTGAAGACTCTTGAAAAGGAAAACGTCTCAGTAAAAACATGCAAGAGCATGGGGTTGGGTCTGCCAGATCTGTTCTTCTAGCTTAAGGAGCCAGCTGCAGACACAATGGCTCTTCCATCTGCAGATTTAATCAGATATTTCAGTTATAAGAGAGAATTCGTATCCATCCTGCCATCCTTCTCACGTCTCTCTTGCAAAATGCATAAACAGTTTTTATGCCATTTGATTATGTACTCCATGTTGTGACTTCAGATGCAGTGTGGAACTCATGTGAAATTCACTGCCACAGGTAGTGGTGGCAGCGGCTACGAGCATAGACAGCTTCGAGAGGGGACTGAATAAACATATGGAGCAGAGGTCCATCAGTGATACCTTGTGGCTATCCATGGAACACTCTCTGGAGCAGTGATGCTCTGTATTCTAGGTGCTTGAAGGGCAACACTGGGAGGGCTTCTGGAGTTCTGCCCCCGCTGGTGGACCTCCTGGTGGCACCTGGGTTTGGGCCACTGTGTGACCCAGAGTGTTGGACTGGGTGGGCCATTGGCCTGATCGAACATGGCTTCTTTTATGTTCTTAGGTCTGGGGCAGTGACGCTCTATATTCTTGGTGCTTGAAGGGGAACAGTGGGAGGGCTTCTGGAGTTCTGGCCTCACAGGTGGACCTCCTGGTGGCACCTGGGTTTGGGCCACTTGTGACGCAGAGTTTTGAACTGGGTGGGCCATTGGCCTGATCCAACATGGCTTCTTTTATGTTCTTAGATCTGGGGTAGTGACTCTCTATATTCTTGGTGCTTGAAGGGCAACAGTGGGAGGGCTTCTGGAGTTCTGGCCTCACTGGTGGCCCTCCTGGTGGCGCCTGGGTTTTGGTTACTGTGTGACACAGCACATTGGACTGTGTGGGCCATTGATCTGATTCAGCATGGCTTCCCTTCTTACGTGTAGTTTTATTTCTTTTCTTGCATTGATTTCCTCTGCACCTTCTTTAAGATCTCGTCCTATGGTTACGGTAGGCAGTGGGCCTGTGTTGTTTGAACCCAAGAGCTATTATATGTGAAAAGCTAAACAGAACCTCCATGTTTACAGGTAGTACACTTGACGAACGGAGTCTATTGAGATTCCGTCCTGCTGGTGGTTTTTGTGGGGCATTGGGTTGACTCTAGCTGGAAGGAGACCGTGGGAGTAGATGGCTCTTCGAAGTGCTTCAGCAAAATAATTCTCCAGTGTATTAAATTTCGGTGGCAAATAAACATGGCACGTCTTAGAACAGAGCAAGATCATTTAACCCTGACCCGAATGTCCCAGGCTGGCCCAATCTTGTCAGATCTCGGAAGCTAAGTTAGTGGTTAGCGCTTGAATGGGAGACCACCAAGGAAGTCCAGGGTCAGTATCAAAGTCAGGCAGTAGCAAACCACCTCTGTCCATCTGGCCCTGACCTGGGTGGACCAGAGGCGAGCCTGATCTCGTCAGATCTCGGAAGCTAAGCAGGGTTGGCCCTGGTTAGGGCTTGGATGAGGGACCCCCGGCGGTGGACCTGCAAGGCCGGCGGGAGTGCAAGGGAGCCCCGCGAAGGCCCTCCCTGGCCCCAGGCAGGCAGGGGTGGGGAGAGGCAGGAAGGAAGCAACTTACCCTCCCTCTTCTCCTGCCTCCTCCTGGCTGAATGAGGGCCGGAAGCGGGGTGGCCGGAAGCAGGGGGCAGGGCTTCGTCATGTGCCCCGCCCCCCACACCTCACCCGGGGGAACTGCGATCCCCCGCGATCCCCCCCAAAATGACCTCTGTATAGAATCATAGAATCACAAAGCTGGAAGGAACCTCCAGGGTCATCTAGTCCGACCCCCCCGCACAATGCAGTAAATTCACAAATACCTCCTGCTCCACACCCACAGTGACCCCCCCGTTCCACACCCAGAAGATGACAAAAAAAAACCCCAGAACCTCCAGGGCCATCTAGTCCAGCCCCTTGCCCAATGCAGCCCCAAAGTGGCAATCGGCATTTCCCTGGGCGTGTAAAAAAGGGCCACAAGAACTAAGCACTGACTTGACTTGACGGCACTTTCCACCATGGGACAAGCCACTCTTTTTGTGCCTGAATGTCAGCCAGCCTTCATCAGATCTCCGAAGCTGAGTAGACTTGACACTGGGATGGGAGATCTACTTTGATGGGAGATCTACAGGGAAGTTCAGGGTTGGTACGCAAAGGCAGGGCAGCAGAAATCCACCTCTGAACATCCCTTGCCTTGAAAATCGTACGGGAAGTCAGAAGTCAGCTGTGACCTGATGGTACTTTCCACCACCATCATTTAGGCCCTGCTATTTCTGCTAGTTATTACTACTGCTAGTCAGTTTGGTGTAGTGGTTAAGTGCACAGACTCTAATCCGGGAAAACCGGGTTTGATTCCCCAATCCTCCACTTGCACCTGGCTGGATGACCTTGGGCAAGCCATAGTTCTGATAAGA